GATTCAGTGAAACAATATCTAATTCCTATCGATAGTTTTAGTCAAATATAGTTTTAGTGAAATTGTATAACTATTTATGACCTCTTGAGAGAGCGGTGTCATATTTCATTATATTAATCTATTGTCTTGAACAATGTAAACTATCCATACATTTCGCCGAACATAACTTCGGCCCCTTTGAAGATATCGTTTTTGTTATAGTCTTATTCGAACCAGAATCCAAAACACTATTTCAAGTGTTATTTTCAAGCTTGTGGGATTAGTTTTTCGTCTTTTATTTCGGTATTTCAATCTGTTGGTAGAATTTGAGAATGCCAACGACAAGTCTGTAAATCAATCCGACATGTCATCCAATTGCAATAATTGCCAAAAAACACAGAGATTGGATGAAATAAAACTAGTTAAGCTAGATTTATTATTGTCGCTTTATAGCGTAGTTGAATCTAAGCAAAGCGAACTCGAAATTGAGAGAAATAAATACCAATTAATCGAAGACCAAGATGCCATAATCCACATGCTTATTAACAAAAACAGGAAATTGGAGAGTGAACTTGATAATATGAAAGTGACCCTAAAGCAGGTGAAGCTTGACAATGATCTAATTCAAAAGACATTGGATATGGAATAGAATGTCTGGATAAAAGCGAAATCTTCAAACCATTGTAACCAAGTGCCAGTTCCTGACTCTCCACAGCAGGGGCTCTCCACCTTTAATCATTTTGATGCATTGACTGTTGAAGATCTAAAGACATACCAGTCAATACCTCGGACAGTGGCTCAGATAGTGGCTTTCAAGGGCAGATTAAAGATTACCGTAATTCACAGTCATCTAAATTTGTCAAAAAATTGCGAAAAACAAACCAAAATACGTCATATGTTGATAGCAATAGTGAATGTCCCCCAAATAATCAATCACCGTCAGAACAGAAAAAAGTAGTCATTATTGGCGACTCCCTGGTAAAGAATATTGACAATTTAAAAATATCCAGAGCGACCAAAACTAAATCGACCCAGATTCACTCTTATAGTAGAGCAAGAATACAACATGCATCTTGAAAAGATCAAGGAACATTGGTCAGATGATAGTCAGAATTATGAAGCAGTAATTATCCATGCAGGAACCAATAACCTGGTCAACGAAAATCCACATCAAGTTGCTCAACGTATAGAAAGTCTCACAAAAGTGGCAAAAATCAATTGAAGTGATGTTGCGGTGTCAAGTGCGGTAAAAAGATTTGATGGTAAATTATTCAACCAAAAAATTGAGGAAGCAAATAACCTATTACTCATCTTGTGCGAGAGGTATGAAGTAGCATTGTTAGATAACAGCGAGATAGATCAATCCCATCTCAATATATCCAACCTCCATTTGAACAGAAATGAAGACAATTGCAGTTGTTGGGCAAGAAATTTTGCTCTTACCTAAAGTTAAAATTAGCCGCAATGCTGTCCATAATCAGAAGCTGCATAGCAAAAATTAATAAGCCTTTTTTTCGGCTTGCACTGGGCCATCGAATGAAGGAATGGTCAGATCACCTGAAGCTAGTAACCAATATAATGAAGAAATAAATACTAATGATAATTGCTGTTTAACCCAAAACAGGAGCAGCGATTGTTTCAATGAGATTAATTTTATTTCTAATGAAAGAGGCTTTAAAATGGCCTTTTTAAATGTTGTTAGCTTGCCAAAACGACATGATGAAATTAGCTTTTCATTGTCAAACAAATTCATTGATTTAATCGCATTTAATAAACAAGGCTTGATTCATCAATTTCGGATAATCAAATGTATATTGATGGTTATGATATTATCCGAAAAGATAAGATAATGGTGTTTGCATGTATATTTGCGTAGCTCCATTAATTATCGGATTAGACATGATCCAGTGCTTAAAAATCTTGAAACCGTTTGTATTGAAATCATTAAGCCTCAAAGTCAGCCGTTCGTCGGAGTAACAGCTTATAGACCTCCAAATCCGTCATCAGAATTTTTTATTGATTTAGAAAGTCTCATTAAAAAAATAGATGATGAAAACAAAGAAATTCACCGGTGATTTAAACTGGTGATTTAAACTTGTTCTTGGTGGTTTAAATTTATTCTTGGTGATTTAAACTGTGATTTACTAAGACAAATCCAGGCCAATTAACTAAAAAACTCAAATCCATATATGAACTTTATCAATAGTCACAAATGATTGATAAGGCTACGCGCATAACATCATCAACATCCACCCTTATTGATCATTTTATTACAAATAGACCAGAGAAAATTTCTGACTCTGGGGTAATACATACTGGAATTAGTGATCATAACATGATTTTCACAACAAGAGAAATAAATTTTTCAGTAAAACGTCACTCTTGTAAATATTGTTGAAATTAGAAACATGAAGAAAATCAATGATTTAAATTTACTAAGGATTTGCAAAATCAACCCAGGGATCATATTTAATATTTTCCAGATAATCCAAATACTATGTGGGAGATGTGGAAAAAAGTCTTTTTAGAGGTCCTGGATAAGCATGCACCACTTCAAAACAAGAAGATAAAATCAAAAAGTGTCCCTTGGTTTACAAGCAAAATTAAAATGCTCATAACGGAAAGAGATCAATTGAAAAGAAAAGCAATTATTACTAAACAAAAATCTGATTGGCTCATTTATAAAAAAGCCAGAAATCAAACAAATACCGTATTAAGGAAAGCCAAAACAGACTATTATTCTAAAAAGATTGATAACTTAACCAAAAGTGCAATCCAAAGCAGGCTTGGAAAACTATTAATAGTTTAATTGATTGGAAAGGGTAAGAAACCCACGATTATAAATGAACTAATTATTAATGAATCTAAATTAACAAATCCTACAGAGATTGCAGAAGGGTAAAATGAATTCTTTGCAAATGTTGGACCAAACTTGGCAAGCAAGTTGGATTAATTTAGCTGTGGCTTTCAAAATTATACTAAAAGTTCTGAATACGAGTTCACTGCATTTACACCAATTGCGGTAAACGAAATTTTTGATCTTTTAAGAGGGCTGTCTTGTAACAAAGCATGTGGTGTTGACAAAATTTCCGGTAAAATTCTTAAATTAGCATCACCAGTTATTTCTGCTATACTTACATATATATTTTAATCAAGGTATTAGTCTTTGCAGCTTTCCAGATAAATGAAAAGTAGCTATAGAGTTTTACCTCTTTATAAAAGTGGTCATCGTAATATTCCCGGTAATTACAGGCCAATATCGATACGACCAGTCATAAGCAAAATCATGGAAACAATCCTACAGTAGTTTCTGGTCTTATTTGATTCGTACTTGTTTCTACAAATATGTTACCGTGTGACCAATAAGATTGGTTTTACCGCGAATCAGTTTTTCTGGGTTTTTTGTGTTATCTTGTACGTCATGATGGTAACACGAAATATAGTTATTAGCATAATTTATTAGGAGAATATGTGAAGCTAGTTTCCATTGATCAAGCATGTTCTCTATGAATATCTTAAATCGATTGAAAAGTTTTGGGCTATGCAAATTGTGTAATACGTATTTTACCCATGCTTGACTTGTGAGTAGGTAATATATGCATATTAATTATATTATATTAAAGTATATTCACAGAAATTGCTGAAAATCTGTGAAATTGCTGATAATCGCGGAATACAAAATACATTGTGAAAATTCAAATTTCTCAAACTTTGACTGAGAGTGCTCTTGTTTGAATGAATGCTACGGAACTTCTTATGTTTCTTAATATTGATTAAATACATGTATAGCCAAATAATTACAGAAACCACTCAGTATTTTAAGAATACATAAAATAACGGTAACAGTAACTCCAAATTACATTTTCATTTTTAATTGACGTTTCTACTAGTTTGTAGTAATCCTCAAGATTAATGATAGTGTAAAATTACATATGCAGCTATTGTAAAGCCCAGACTAAAACGTAGCCTGCGTGGCAGGCCCTCAATTATTCTGGCGGGCTCCGGGGGAGGAAAGAGGGCCTGCAGGAAAGATCACCTTTCATGACTACACGCCCCAGTCATAACATAATTAATGGCTTTCTAAAATTGACCAATAAAAATTCAGCTGCAATCGGGGAAAACCCCATGCGAAAGAAATATCTTCGCTTGCATCAAAACATGTTAATCAAACAATGTTGCGAACTGCTCCGGACGATTATTGTAGAGTCTGTAAATGTTGTTTTAAACAGCAATTCGGCAATTTTAGTAAAATTGTGCACGTTTCATCGCAAAACCTGTTCAAACCGTCACAAAGAAAACAGTCTTTCGGAATTGTGCTTTCAGATTTATGTGATAAAGTTGGCTTACCGTTGAAAAACTCTGAATATCATTCAACCAAAATTTGCAACACATGCTCAAGAAAAATTCTAAAAGTGCATGAGCTTGTAACGGAATTAAAATCTTCAGTTAACACTGACATTACACGAGAAGTTTCAACACCATTGCCAGCCCAAAGATGTAGATGCACCAGGAAAGCGTAAATTGTTAACTCGCGACCGTGGCGCTAGTCCATTCAACCGAAAATCAAATCGCGTTTGTTCTCCACGAGGTTCCCAGGTAGTATCTCTAGATCGAAATCTGCGCGTAAAAAATGCTTGTTTGGCAGCGATACAAGAGATGATCTCACTGGTCAGTCATCAGGAAATAACACAGGTACTGCAAACAACGTGGACGTAAATACTGATTCTGACGATGTACTAAGTAAGCTCAACATCGACGGTTTGAAAACGTGTGAAGGGCGTTCGTCACTTAAATTAAAAGTGGTTTTAGTTCATCCGAATTGGAATGTTGTGACCCGAAACCCTACAAACGAAAAGACAGTGCAAATTATTAGAAATCTTGTTGTTGGCTGCTGGACTGCTGTTGCAAATGCAGTATTTGACCACCCAGATAAGGAGTTTCAACAGCAATTACGACTTGCCGTTAAGAGGACAGTCAACAAAGAATTCAAAGCATACAGTAGAACTGACTCGGTTCTAAAGGCAACGTGTGCAGATGATCTAACTGCATTTTCAAACAAACTTGTTGTTCACGAAGCGAAAGTTTACTGCACACTTTGGCATGCAACTTTAATGTGGGCTGTTGGAGTGAAAGACAACGGCAACGTAACGTGTATCAATCAACTTGCTTTGGCCACTGCAATTCTTGCTCGGACACGGAACTCAACAATGTCTGCGGTTGCTTATAGAATATCCAGCTTGTTGGTTCATAGTGGAGCCACTCACCAGGACATAATCCGGCTTAACAAGTTGGGTGTATGTATGTGCCCCAAATCTACAGTTGAAATGCAACGTAAGATGGGTAGGCACTTTGATGCAAAGGTTTTACAATGGAAGTCATCTATAGAAGACACCAGAAATTGCCTACAATTTTTGAATGAAGTCATTGAAAAACAGAAACCCGTTCTTGAAGACGACTCCATGGATTTGGAATCAGTGTTCGACATGCGAGAAGAAATTGTGAAAAAATACCAATCTTACCATCCAAATGTCTACAATAAAGTGGTGGACTCTTTAAGGGTGAATGAAGAGAACGAACATAATATGGCATTATGCAGTACTCGACAAAATTTCAGTGAAGAAGCATTGCGATATGAGATTTCTGTCCTTGAAAATGAAAACGTACCACTTTACAAGTAAGAATTATTGAACATTTTTCACTCGACCTTGGGACAGCAATTGTTTTGTTAAAATGTTTGAACGTTTACACGAAAAGTTTTGTCGTAACATAAAAACTGGCCTTGACAACATAGTGCCACTGCCTTGACAACATGCACCGCGCAACGATAAAACTTTTCGTTCAAACATATCGACAAAACAATTGGCGTTCCAAGATCGAATGAAAATCGCAATATTGTATTTACATTGAAAATGAAAATTGTGGCAAATTTTACTATACGTACATAGTGTTTTGGATGTTCTATAAAAAAGAATTATGACAGCCTGGCAAAATCAAGTGTCCTATTTTTTGCGATTCTTTGTATAATAATGTTAACAATAGACAATCCAAAATACGTTCAT